TGTGTGCAGCAACCAGTGGGCAGGGCCAAGACCTCCAAGGTGCCGGGTAGCTGCTGTGAGAGCATAGGAACCCACGGTAAGGTAGGGCTGGCCTGGAGAGACAGCTCAGTGGGTAGAACATTATGCCACAAATCTGAGGACCCCTGTTCAAATCACCGGGATCCGTGTAAAGCCGTGCGTGTTGCATGTGTGTATATTGTCACAATCACACAGCAGGAAGGGAGGCAGAAACCGGTGAATTCCTGGAGGCTCCTAGGCCAGCAAGCCTGGTCTACGCAGCAGCCAGCAAGAGACCCCGCCTCAAATAAGATGGAGGGACCAGCATGTTTGGGTCAGGGATGACCGCAGCAGGAGTGTCGAGCCCCGCGAGCACTTGTGCTCACGCTCAGGACACTCGCCCTCAAGTCACACATGCACACAAAATGCACGCAACGGGGTCCACAGGGCTATCTGACGGTAGCAGCACTCCCCCACAAGACCCCAAGGATGCCCCTCGGGAGCCACGCCCAAACCTGGGGGCCAGCAGCCTCCCCATCCTGCCGCACACTCCCCAGGGGCCCAGCCCCCCACCCCCTGTCCTCACTCCCTCACAAGCCCCACCAAGCCTGTTCCCAGGTCACATTTGGAATACCCTGCCCACGGTCGCCCCACCCAACCGCGCTCTGTGGTCAAATGTGGACAGGTGACCGACTCCTTGAACTTCCTGATTTGTAAAACAGGGGGTGATGAGAGAACTGACCGAAACTAGGAGAAGGCTGACGTGTGATTACTGTCACATCCTGAATCCTGACTCTATCCTGCCAGGCTGTGTGACCTAGGTGCATAGTCACTTAACCTCTCGGAGCCTCTGTGACCATTCTTGGCTGGCTCAGGACCAGGGCCGTGTCTGCCTCCTGAACTGTCTGCACGCACATTTCCAGATTTAATTCAAGATGCACCACCGTTAGCCCGTGCTCCACAGGAGGATGCGGGAAAGCTGTGCTACGTGGCAATACTAGAGCAGGGGGTACCGAGGAGACCCACGCCATTCTTGCTTTCATCTGCGGAAGTCTGTAGTCTGGGGGGGGGTGTCCTCTTTTTATATATATATATAGAACAGGAGCCCAGGGTTCAAGGCCTCTTTGTCCATCTGTCTGAATTTGTACTTCAGTTGTCCCGATGGGGGGCCTTGCAAAACGCTTGCTTGCTCTCTCTCACTCTCTCTCTGGGCTGCCACAAGCCAGTACTCAGACGTGACCACTTAGGAGAGCCGCTAACTGGAGCTCTGTCAAGGACGCACAACCATGCACGCCAGTCACGTGACCACCCCCCTCCCTCCCTCTTTGATCTACATCTCATAAGGGCGTCTCGCCCTAGAATTATGAGCACGGAAATCAGAGCGAGACGCTTCCCGTTCTATTTCTGGTCTAACAGACCCACGGGCGTGCGGGCAGATCCAAGGCCAGCATTTGCCGGGCCTGTGGGGAAACAGCAGAGCAAGTCACAGTGGCCCACCTTCCGGCCCGTGACAGAGGGAACGGGGGAGGGTGGTCACCCTGGCGTGATGCTGCCCCTTGGGGTCCAGGCTCCTCAATGGGTAGCAGGTGTGTGATACAGGCAAGAGGTGTGTTCTGGCGGGCTTCTGCGTGCGGCGTGACGCAGGGACAGAGAAGCGGGGGGAGGGCCCTGTTGGGCTGCCCTTCTGGGCTGCAGGCCCAGCGTTTGGATAAGCAGACGGCAGAGGCTGGGTCTGGAGCAAGCCGGCTTCCCTCCATCTGATGCACGCGTGGTCCCTGAAAAGCCCCAGCCCCATGGCCACACAGATGTAGGGAAGGGTGGTCTGCTGCACTGTCAGCCCAGCCGGACCTCGTCGTGGTCTCGTGGGACAGGCGGGTGCCGCTCATCTGTGCCGGGCAACGTTGTCTTAAACTCACCCGGGTCCCCCCAGGAGGGTCCCTGACACGCAGCTCTGCATTGGCTGCCACCAAACACAGCGGGGCTCTCCAAAGGGGGTGACATGGAGGACAGAGCCGCTGGTGCAGAGGCCAGTGGCCTGCAGGGTGCAGATCCAAAATCCTTACTGGGAAGCCGGAGGAGTTCCTGAACCTCGGAACTCACTCAGGAGATCTGGTGGACTGCTGAGAAGCCCTGTGAGGAAAAGAGAGCACCCCCCTCCCCACCGGGCAGGGCTGTGAAGCAAGCCAGCATGGATCAAACACTGCCAGGACTCAGACAATATCTTCTCCTTCCCCCAGGGGGCAACCTTGCCTCGGGTGTGGCAGGAACACTAAGCGCCCCCACCACACACACACACACACACACACACACACACAAACACACTAAGAGAAACGCACACCAATCAGTAAGAGCTCCTGTGCCGACCACAGAATGGGAGAGTGGATACACCCCAAACAGGCTCTGTTTGCTCAGGTCAGACCTGAGGGGCCGCCGGCCGCCGGCCTGCAAGTTTTCAGGCTGTCCCGGGGAAGGGAGGGAAGACAACGCTACGCAGGCCACAAGAGATGTGTGTTTCCCGTGCACATCCGTCTGCCCGGGGAAGAAGGCTCACACATCCCAGGGCGCCACTGGCTTTTACTTGACACGCACAGCCCACACGGTGCCACTGACCCTGGAGAGGTGCAGAGGACCGGCTCGGCCCGGCAGGGACCCGGCTGCTGCCAAGCCTCACAGGACCTCGACAGTGGACTGCTGTCAAGGGCAACCGTCAGGTGATTCTCCCAGAACTGGGGAGAGACGGTGGGGGCAGGCACACCCGCTGGCCCAGCTCCCCTCCTGTCAGGCAAGTGGAGAGCCCCGCGCTGCTCACACAGACAGCATGGACAGGGCCTTCAGAGCTCTGAGAGAGCTGGCCACACCCGGAGCCCCAGTGCCAGAAGCTCGTCTTGGAACCACACACACACACACACACACCCGTGCATGTATACACTCACACACACACACATACACACACACACACACACACACACACACACACACACACACGCTGTGGAGCTCCCTTCTCACTTCTCAGGCTGTCCCTGTGACTCTTGAGTGACAGGGCTCTGTCAGCTGAGGGCACTCGAGTCCCCTTCGCCTGCCTGTCTGCTTTTTCAGTGTGACCCCCAAAGTCTCCATTCCTCCAGGACACATACACACACACAAGAACAGGGCTGTAGGCCCATGTGGCCACAGCATCATGAAGGAATCTGAGCTTTTTTTATTACACATATATATGTATATATATATCGGAAAACGGAAAGAATTTCCGTGAGACAACAGGACAAGCAGCCTGAAAAGTTTGAAGTCTACAGAGTTAGCCCGAGAGGTGACACCGAACAGGGGAGCAACAGACTCAGGCTCGGTGGGAAGTGAAGGCATCGGATGACGTGTGCCCAGCCTGGCAGGGCTGCCACACCCTCCGTCCCAGGGTGTGGAGGGAGGCAGAGCGTAGCCCTGAGCATCTGTCTTCCTGCTTTGGGTACCCAGCTCCAAGTGCCCGTGGCAGGCATTCCAGGGTTATTGACTTCTCTCAGTAGGGGGACAGGCTCTCCTGCACTCCAACAGGCAGCTCACCTGTATCAATAGCTGGCCTTCCCCTCTGGAGAAGACGACTGCTCTGGTATGAGGGCTGCTGGGAATACGGCTGACTGACAGACCCAGGACTGACTGACTGACAGACATAGAGCTTCTACTGCTTGGCTAACAGGAACACAGCATGCCTTCCAGCCAGCAACAGGCAGCAGGGCAAGTTCAGTGGGAGAAATGGCAGCTCCTGCTTTGCCGTGATGGAGGTTTGTAGGGAAGAGAGATGAAGAGGGAGGGTCCTCTCCGGGGCGAGCTCTCCTGACGCTGGACTCCCAGACCCCAGGTCTGGCCTCTCTTGTCAGTTCCTTCCCGTCTTTCCTCAGGTTGGAAAGTTTGTAGGTGCATACTCAATGCTGACCTCTAACAGAATTCCCTCCACAACCATCTCCTCACACCCCATCTCCTCACACCCCGTCTCAAGCTCCCCCCACACCCCGACAGAGTCACGCAGGCCTAGGGCTCTGAGCAGCCCGCTCTGTTGCTAAGCAGCAAGTGCAGCAGCGTGAGGGGAGGGTACCGCATGGACTAAACTTGGCACCCAGAAACACCGAAGTTCCGACCCTGGCACCTGTGGATGGAACTTTATGCGGAAGACTCGTCTCTGTGGACGGAACAATGAGGCGGGAAGTGTGGGACGCAGTCTTTCTAGACCGTCGGGCTGTCCCCAGATCCGCCGCACCAAACTTCCCCCCAACTCCGAGTCCTCAGACTGAAACTTAACCCCCATCACACCCACCCGTGACTGTGGCCTTTACTGCAACGAGTTCATCAAGTTACCACGGAGCCATTAAGGGCTGTGACTTTTTTGGGGGGTTCCCTGGGAAGGAGGGCCATTCTGGACAAAGGGACAGAGGCACATCAAATGGGAAGCGCTGTCCGTGTCCATCCAAAAGCCAAGGGATTAAACCAAAGAACGCCTCCAGAAGGAGTGGGAAGAGAGGAGGAATGAGTCTCCCTCAGCTGCAGGAGGAATCAGCCCTGAACCACACTCAGCTGGAGAAGGTTCTGGGGGCCCACGACAGGGACACGCCCCCCCCACCCGCCAGCTTCCTGAAGACCATCCTGTGGCCACTGCGCTGTCATTTTCCAACGGGCGGCTACCTGGTTGGAACCCACACAGGTCAAGCAGGTCACCCCAGTGGGGACCTCAACACTGTAGCTAGACAGGGAGAGTCGAGGTGCGGAGTGGTGCATGGCCGTGGTCCTCAGAGGACGCAGACCCCCAGGCAGCAACCCTGTCCCCCTGACATGCCCTGCCTCTGCCAAGAGGACAGTGTCCCAGGTGCTGATCTGAGAAAGTTGGGCTGCACACCCGCTTTTTCTAGATGCTTCTTACAGAGGAAGTCCGGGGTGCTGTCCATTGATGAATGAACCACCCCCAGATGACGTTTACCCCAAGGCGGTCAGACACCGGCAAGGGCCACGCAACCCAGGGCTGACGGGAGCACGGGGCCCAACGGGTAAGTCTCCTTGGGGGCGTCGGGTACAAGACTCATGCTGAGCAGACGGGAGAGGGCACAGGGAGGTGGATACGGGGCCTGCAGCAGTCAAGGCCAAATGCCAGCGGACGCCCCGAGAGTCGTGTGTCCGACAGCCCCGGGCCTAGCTAGGGAAACGCCAGTAACTCTACCAAGTACACCCCGCTCTGCTCCAAGGTGCCAGCATCCAGCCATCTGCCACCCAAGAGTGAAGTTTCCAGGGCGGCACAGTGCCGCCCTGGGTTCAGCACCGAGCACCGCCCTGCTTGCTTGCTGGCACCTCCGAGGGCCACGCTGGAAGGCCGTGGGTGGCTGTCCCTGAGCCCGCTGCTCACCCCCTCCCATCCACTAGTCAGGTCCCTGGTAGACATAAGAGTCCTTTGGGATGCTGGACAACCCCCAGGGCAGTAGGAGCGATGGCAGTGGCTTAGTTATGCCCCAATGAGGAGGGGCCTCCAGCCATGCCGGGAACACCGGGAAACAGACCTTGTAAAAGCCACCTCTTATGTCTCGGAGAAAGGTTTGCTGTGTGCCCTAAGTCCCCTGCGTCCCGGCACTTAGTCACTGAGCAGGCAATGGCGGCAGCTGAGTGGGTCAGCCGAGCACAGCCACCACACGCAGAAGTCACCCATCCCACCACCCCCTGGCTTCATCTCCCTGCTCCCAACTCAGGCGATCACTCGGACCCGCTGCCTGCCCCCGACTGGGCTCCCTCTGCCAGACAGCCCGGCACAGGATAGACTCGGGTCAGCAATCTTGCTGGGCCTGGGGCTGAGGCTTGAGCCCCATCCAGGGGTTCACAGACACTGAGGGAGGCCAGAGCCCCTCTGCTCTGAGGCTGACCTGGGTCCCGAGAGCCTGGGCGTTGCCTGCTTCAAGTTCATCCCAGGTGCGGCCAAGTTTTGGTTTCCTCCTGGACGTAGGCAAGAAAGCCCAGCTTCTCAGAGCCTGTCAGCGAGTGAGGGTGGCCGGAGCTCCTAATCCTTCGGATCCCCACCACTCAGGCCCCCTCGTTGGCCCCTTCACAGAGCTCTGCTGCGCTCGCCGGGCCGGCAACGTGGGCCTCCTCCTGATGTAACCCACTAACAGGACAGACCCCAATGCCTGAAGGAGTTCTGGATGACATACCCTCACCTGGTAAGATCCCACCAGCTGCAGGAGGAGCATAGCCCTGCCCACCCTGGGACTGGGGGTTCTCACACAGACAGGAATGAGGACAGGGGATACTCCAGTACCGCCTTCCCTGCGCTCGGCTCCAGGCTCCGGGTCAGGTGCAGGGGATATACACGGGCTGTGCAGACTTTTCTGCTTCCCGAGGGTAAGGAGGCCTTTACACGTGATGGGCATTAAGGGCCCCTGATGGCAGTAACCAAATACGGCAGGGGCCAGGGTGAGGTGACCAAGGGGTCAGAAACAAACACCACCCGCAGGGATGGAAACCTCCAGCAGCATCATGGGGAAAGTGGGGGGGGGGAGAAAGTGGGGGGGCGCCGACAGGAAGGGATCTGCAGAAGGAGAGACATAAGGCACACGGAGCAACCCCACCCACCCCCGCCTGCTATCTTCCCCTCCTGAGCTGAGGACTATGTGAAGGTTTTCCCAACCTCCTAGTATTTACCCCCAGCCTGAGCCTGGGAAAGGGCACCTGGAGTGTCGAGAGCTGTTAGCTGATGACTCAGTGGGGAGCAGATGTCACCCACATCACCCCTGCAAAGGAACAGCTGCACAGGTAGTACTCTGCAGGGGGGGTGGGGCGGGCGGGGCCTTCTGTGGGGACTCATACCAAGAAGAGGCCACAGGGAAGAGGGCGGGGCCCTCCTGGGGGCATCCCTCTGGGGGCATACCCTTCCTTCACTGTCTTCAGGTCTATTCCGAGAGGCTGGAAGGGGCTGGAGAGGAGGCTTAGCTCTCTTCCGGGGGACCTGATTTTGGTTTCTAGTACCCGTGACAGGGGGCTCCCGACCACCTGTAACTCTGGCTCCAAGAGGACCCGGGAACCCTCTGGTGCTTAGATTAAGGCAGCACAGACACAGAATGTGGTTTCAAATAATAACAGTAACCACAGACACAGAATGTGGGTTCAAATAATAACAGTAACCATTTAAAGCAAGGGGGCGTGGCTCGCAGCGGCACCGGATACCCTTTGCAGAGCTAGATGGGGATTCTGAATACAGCTTCTCCGGGGCTCCTGTGTGAGCCAGGGATTCCTGACAGCAGCCGACCAGCCTCTGAAGTTAAAGCTAATTCCACAGGTGCGGAGCTGGGCAGCAGGGGCTCCCCTCTCCACAATCGGTAGGTACAGTACAGGGGCTAACCTCCACCTGTTCTGGGACAGCTGGCCGCTTCCTTCCGCTCAGGGGCGTGGAAATTCTGCCCCACGTGTCACGCCACCGGCTCAGGGCTCTAGAAAACAGGTCTGCCAACTCTCTAGCCAGGGCCAACTCTCCCCTCTGAAAGGCATTACTAATCCTGCCCCTAACCCCTCAGCACCCACCCTCCTCTCAGACGGTCTGCACTCTGCCCAGGCACGCCACCATTCCCGCCATGGTCAAGCCACCTACACATGCACGGGTGCCTTTTGAGTTCCACTCAGGGTTCCTAGTCACCCCTGGGGCGGCCTCCTCACTAGGTCATCTTCCCTGGGGCACTGCTATGTGTGAGTCTTAAAATTCCTCAGAGACCTGCACGTTGAAGGCGCGCTTGACACTGCCTGGCGACCACTGCAGAGCGGTGGGGCCAGTCAGAGTGGGAAGATCCAGAGGGCACTTTGGGGGGTCACTGGGGTGGGTCCCCGGGGGAGGAGACTGTATGGTCCTGCTGTCTGTTCCTCGTACTTCGTGCTAAGATACACAAGGCACAGCCCTCCTCCACCCACACAAATGTCCCAAGAGGCCACAGGGCCGGGCCAGCAGTCGTCATGGGACGATGCCTTTGGAACAGGATGGAAAGCCTTTCCTGCTCTTAAGTCGAATCACCTCAAAGGCCTTTGTTACGGTGACCGGAAGATGACCAAACGCAGGGTTCTAAGAAAGCAGCTTAACACACCCCCAGAAAGGCGTGGCTGACTGTCAGCTCCAGGCTGCAGGTCCATCATGCTTTGCCCGGCTGGGTAAGGAATGCTCCATCCCACGGAGCAAGAGCGTCTTAGGCTTCAGACGTGGGAAACCGTCTAGGCCGATCTTTTCCTCACCATCCACAAGGCCTTGGGGACGGAAACCTGACAGTGAAGCCTCGTCGCTACAAGATGGCTGCCAGCACCTTCTGCTGGCTCCGGTCCAGCCCCACCCCCTGCCCCCATCTTCCTTCCACAACTGCCCCTAGAACGCCAGGGTATTCCCAGAGCCACAGTCAAACCACCCTGTGGACCCATCGTCTGTGTTTTGCGTGCGCGAGTGCACGTGTGACTTGAGGGCGAGTATCCTGAGTGTGAGCACAAGTGCTCGCGGAGCACGGCACACCTGCTGTGTCACCCCTGACCCAAACGTGCTGGTCCCTCCATCTTATTTGAGGCGGGGTCTCTTGCTGGCTGTTGCGTGGACCAGGCTAGCTGGCCTAGGAGCCTCCAGGGATTCACCAGTTTCTGTCTCCCTTCCTGCTGTGTGATTGTGACAATACACACACATGCAACACACACACGGCTTTACACAGATCCTGGGGATTTGAACAGGGGTCCTCGGGTTTGTGGCGTAATGTTCTACCCACTGAGCCATCTCCCTTACTGTGTATTCCTATGCTCTCACAGCAGCTACCCGGCACCTTGGAGGTCTTGGCCCTGCCCACTGGTTGTTTTGCGCTTCTGGGGTGCCTTATCTGCCCCTGGGGCACTTTCCCTTCTCCTGACCCCCTCTGCATCATCACTGAATCCTCCGCTGCCTTCATGCCCATCCACAGGGCTAGCTCAGAGAGCGGCACCTCTGAGGTAACTTCCTCCCTTCCCCTCCCTTCCCCTCCCACCTGACAGGCAGAGCAGGAGATTTCTCTTAGGCCTGCTGCTTTAGGTGGGAAGACAAGGGGGTCAGGGGCTCTGCTGTGACCACACTGCACACTTGTCTGCAGGCCCGCAGAGAACTCTGTCAAGAGATGAGTCCCTGCATGGGTGGAGGACAAGTTCATGAGGGCAAGGCCCATGGGACGACATACTTCTTGTACTTTGAGCTTGGCCAACTTTGCGGAGGACAGTGCCAGGGCGGGCCCCACCTACTCTAGGTCCAATCTTCCTCAGATCTTACCTTCTCTAAGCCCCACCATCCCAGGCCCCGTCTGCCAAGAGGACACTCACTCTAGTCCCAGGGTTCTCTGGGGAGCCCACAATGCCCCCTCCCCTGCCTTGGTCCCATTGTCCTTTCCAGAACAGATGGATTTGGAGCAAGGTATGGTGCGGAGATGATCTCTGCAGAGAGACCCTGAGACTCCCAAACCACAGGACCTGAGCAGTTCAGCCAGACAGGACCCTTTCTCTCTGTCCACGAATTGCCATGTTAGAGCCTCTGGGTGTGTGACCTTATTCAGACAAAGGGTCCCACAGAAGTGATATGGTCAAGTGACCAGAGGTGAGAGTGTGATAGTTATGCAAATGGACACAAATCTGAGACAGGTGGCCTTATGAGATCCACAAAAGGAATGGTAACCCTGGGAAGATGGAGGTGTAAGTCAGCAACACAGCCACCATCCAAGAATGGAACTCAGAAACACAGAAGGTCGTCCCTTGGGTCCACCGGAAACAGCACACCCCTCCCTGAGCCACCTTCAGGCCCCCAGCCTCCAGGGTTTTAAAAGAACATGGTGGGCCCATGCCAGCAGACTGCAGTGATGAGTCAGGATAGCTCCAACACACACACACACACACACACACACACACACAGATATGTCAGTACCTGAGTACAGTCTGCACACTCACACACTCACATACACACACACACACACACACACACACACACACAGAGGGTGGGTGACACAAACCCCGCCTCTGGACCTCAGGGCTGGAAAATGGTGTTGATAAATAGAAGACACCGCTCATCACATCACTAAATTTCAATATGAAGGACAGGTACACTTCCTGCCTCACAGAACATGAGTTTGCCTGTAAATCCTAGGTCTGCTGCTCTCACAAACCAGGGGGGAAGGGTCCTGGGGACTGGAGGACCACCCCAGGGGAGGCAGAAGGGCAGAACAGCCTTAGACAGACTGCCATCCATCATGCTGACTTTGGGGAGAGTAATGAAATGGGTAGAAGACAGTAGCACTTTGCGCCTCCAACACTGAGACACCCCAGGGCAGCCCCGCGAGGTGGCCGTGGGTGCATCGTACAGGCCTGGCCACTGGCCATTGACCACAGTGCTAGTGTCTACACCACCGACACAGTCCCAACACAACCTTGGAAGAGGAAAAGTCACTTTTCGACTGTGCAAGCAAAGAAGCCACGAGACCAGTGAGGTCACACAGTGCAGCCAAGGACACACGGGGATGCCACCACGGACAGAGGCCCAGCTGAATCTTCACCTGCAGGCTCTCTGCCCACCAGCACTGGCTTCATGTCCTCGGCTGGCTGGCCCTGCAGGTGCCACCCCAGGTAGATATCTGCTCTTTAATCCCATGGCAAATCCGTCTCTCACTGCTGGGAGAAACTTCTGGAGAGGACCCCCTCCTTCCTCCACTACAGCTGACTACGGCACCCATTGCACAGAATTCAAGGCGTCGGTCGAGGCTCGGGACTGGATCACCCACATCTGAGCGCAGGCATGCAGCCTCATCTCTGCATCCTCCAGGAGTATAGCTGCTGCAATTCTGGCTCACTCTCCGGAACCTGGCAGCTGTGACGGGCTTGGAGCCCTGGAGCGCCACTGGGAACTCTCCTGCCGTGAAGGCGCGGGTGACAACCTTTCGCTGGCGAGTGCATCTCATTCTGTCAGGGAGCCTCCTTCAAACTTAGTGTCTGACATCCTTGAGGCAGGACCCTCTTGCTCACGGGCAGAGAAGAGCTCACCGGGGAGAGAAGCCGCCTGCCACTCCAAAATGAAAGCTCTAGAACGTTTTCTCCAGCGGCCAAGGCCTCAATCCAGCTCACTACGACAGTCGACTGTGGACTGCGGTTTGGAGGTGGATAGGTGGGGTTAAGTTCAGAGGAGGGGCAGCAGAGGGGCAGGGGGGAGAGTGGAGGGGCAGTAGAGGGCAGTGGGGGGCAGTAGTCTCCATAATTAATTTTCCGTCAAGGATTCTAGGTTTGTGTAAGCTGTACTGTGCCTGCCCCACCCATCCGTCAGCATCACCCATCCACAATTTGACCCGACGTCCCCTGTGTCAGTGGTCTCCTTGTCCTCTGACCCCAGCGCTGCCAGTGTCACTCATGAGGTTGGGGCTTTGTGACAACTCTCCTGTCCTTTCGCAGGGGTGTGTCTTGACCTGTCTCACTTTCCCAAATGGATATTCAAACCCCTTGGAAAGAGAACAAGAAGCTAGGCTTCCCTGTCCCCAACCTGCTCCTACCAGAGGTAAAGCCTTTTTACCTCAACTGAAAAACAAAACAAACAACAACAACAAAAAAAAACAGGATGGCTTGGTGCATGGATGATCAAGAAATCAGTGACTCTAAAGCTGGTCTTCTCACACCAGGGATGATGGTGCTAAAAATGGTATTTGTCTGATGTCTAAGCTCAGTGCTCAGGATGGCTCCCCCAGGCACAGGAAAACAGTCGTACAACGTTCAGTCACATGTATGCTACACGGAGTTGTTACCGACAGCAGCATATAGTAACATGTGCAATGCAAGATGTATTCTTCAGGGTCTACTTGTGAGACACCCCCCCGGCTCCCCCAGCCCCATTTATCCAGGCTTACTCTTAGAGAGGAAACTGGCTTCTAGGCAGGAGGACTGCCTGGTCTCTTCACTATTGCACATGCACCCCTCTGCAGGACGACAGGCAAAAGCCCCGTTCTCCAGGTCCCAGCAAGGGAAAGGTAGGGGGGAGTCAGTTTCACCAGCTCCCAGGTAGCGGGTGCTCAGGATGGGCAGTGAGTGGGGCCAGCCTCAGAGAGCCCCAACTCCTGGTATGCTCTCAGAAGGAGAACAAGGCCCTGGGGGGGACAACAGGAGCTGAAGACAGCAATAAACCAAGGCCACAGCACACATAAGGTAAATGAGAAGGCAGACCAGACGGAGCCCTCCCCAGGAGAAGAGAGCGGAAATGAGTCTCCCTCCACCTGGGTGCAAGCAGGGCTTCGCTCAGCAAAAGCAGAGGGAGGGCTTTGTTCCCACAGACTCGGGATCCGGGGGGGTCACTGGCCATCTTTCACCCTCATCTGTGATCATAAACAGTATGCATGGTGTCTTCCAACCCCACAGCGTTTACATGCTGCGGGGACCCCTGTTGACTCAGACAGTCCAGACAGGGGCTCTGGGAGCCGAGGTCTACGGACCGAGATGCTGTGCGTCTCCATGCGCTTTTGTTCTTTAACGCCGCCGTTATCCCAGTTAAGCCACTCGAAACTTTTGAGGTTCATGAGCCATTTGCTTCAGACGTCGTTAAATTAAGGACAGATCCATTTCCCTGGTAGCTGACACCCAGCAACTTAATTAAAAGGGGCTCACTGTTTGAATTGCCACAGTGCCTCTCAAATAGGAGGAGTCGGCCTCTCACGGGTGTGTAACTGCTTCTAATTTCCTTCCGCTCCAACGCCAGTATTTAGTAGGGAGTATTTCACTGTCACCGGACATTATCTCCCAGATCATCTGGTTGGCTCCCCTGCTCAGGTCAGCTGGCCACTGAGGCAGCAGAGAAAACACCGCTACCCTGCCCCCAGCGCTTACAGAAGACACAGATGAAATGCACGGACGGCCCGATGGAGAGAAGCACAAATCAACACTTAGAGGTGACCCTTGGAAACACACGAGTAGATGACAAGGCAAAATTGGCTAGGCAGGACACAAGTGACATCCAAGCTGTCACATCCTCAAGGGGCTGGGGTCCCAAGAAAGGGTGGATGGGTGGAGAGAGACCTTCAGTGAAGACGGGAACTTCCAGGCCTGGCTGTCCTCTTGGGTGGCTCAGCTTCTGAGAGATCTGAATTTCACAGCTGGGGGGCGGAGGGAAAATATCTGATTCTACCGGGCACTTTGGTAATTATGGAACACACACTACCACGTAGGGCCAGGAGCCTGCCGTGAGCACTAGCTGTAGTCAGACAGCCACCCTCCAAGCATTCCAGAAGTGGGCATGTCTATCAGCCAGAATCTGTTGGGTTGAGCTCCCCGGGGGACTCCTGTATGAGTTTAGGATGAAAACTTATGCAAGGACTTTCTGTTTCTCCCAGTTCAGAACCTGGCCGGTGGGAGGGCCGTGAGAGGCAGGCAAAGCCACCCTGCCGGGAGCCCTCTGCCTTCAAAACCTCAGGCAAACTGCCAACCCACGTGACTTGTCCCTCTGCCGCAGCTTGTCGCCTCTGTGCCTATGTGCCAGGTGACTTCCCATCCCAAGCCGTTCCCGGCTACAGACATCTACACCTCTTCAGGGAGCATCAAGGTCAGAGGCAAGGCCTTGGGACTTCGCTGAAGGATCCCTCAAAGCTGGCAGCAGCCAACCAGCGCAGGGATATGAGATGGCGCTGCCGTCGCCATCTACATTTCTGTTCCCATCCTGTCTTCGTCACGACCCCCACCATCGCCGCCGTCACCACCACCACCATCGCCATCACAACCACCTCCAGCACCACCACTACCTCTACCGACTCTACAACGAGCATCGCCCCACAGTTGCTGCCACCAAGCTCATCGCCATCAGTCACCCCCCCCATCATCACCGTCAATTCCATGCCCAGCTCCACCACTGTACTCAACTTCATCATCACCGCGATCGCCATCGCCACCACTGTCACCACCACCGCCAACACCACCATCGCCCTCACCGACATCACCACCATCACTGATGTCATCGTCATCATCGTCACCATCACCAACATCACCACCTTCTTCGACATCATCACGATCAACATCGTCATCACCGTGATCACTGTACTTACCAGAATACCATCCCCGGCCTGACCAGAATTACCAGTGTCAATGCTGCCATCACCACCCCAGGGCCATCTCACCATCCCGACACCACCATCAACGTCTTTGCCACAACAACCGTTGATACTATCATCGCCACCGTTGCTGTCACCTCCATTACCGCCATCACCGTCTTCACGCTTACCATCACCAGACACCCACTGCACAGCTACGAGGTGCCAGACCCTAAGTCCGTGAAAGGGAGCTGTGGACTTTAATCCTACAGCACAGCTGGGCAGCAGACAGAGCTCGCACGCCCATGGAGGCATGGAGAGGATAAACATGGCGCCCTAGACCACTACTCTAAAACCCAGAGAGACACCTCCTAGACACCTCGCCTGTCGTCTGACTCCTGAGGGAGGAGCTCTCTGGAAATTCCAGCACCTACTCTTTGTAAACCCTAGGCCCTGAGTAATTCCAGAGCGCCCCCTGTCCCGCCCTATGTGCCACATTACCCATAGGAAAGCCTGGACCTCCGGTAGACACACGGGGAAACGTAACCTACCCTTCCTAAACTGTTCTACACAGAAGCCACAAAACCAAAATATTAAATTCCCAAACCAGATTCCAGATACCCTTCTGTGAAGAAAAGTACTGGCTTCGTGGAGCCCCAGTTCCAAGTTTCAGGGTGTCCCCAAGCAGGAACTGGGTAAGATGACCAGATAGACTCTCCAGTCCCTGCTGAGCTATCCTGCCTCCGGCATGGTCAAGCACATCCTCTAGCTACTCTAGCTGGGTATATAAAAAAAGGAGGCAGCCTGCATGAGCTAGACTCCACTGGTCATGGAACCTGCACAGCAGGCATGCAGCTAGCTACTCTAGCTGGGTATAAAAAAAAAAGCAGGCAGCCTGCGTGACCTAGTCTCTACTGGTCATGGAACCTGCACATGCAGGACAAGAAATTTCCAGCTTCAAGTTTCCAGGTGAAAATGAAGACACTGTGAGAGGAGACCTTGCCCAGGGAGACACAGCCACGTGAGACAGAGGGCGGAATCAGAGGCAGACAGGCAGCCCTCTCCTCCTGCCCTTTGCTGCAGCCGGGTAGGACTCCACAGGCCACAGGTAAGAGACTCTTTATTCCACCCCTACTGCCTCAGAGTCTAATAAAATACTGTAAACAATGGTTAGGAGACTATACAGCCCTTCCCTCAGTTAGCCAAGGAAACATCCCATCTTTAGTACCAATGGCCAGGTCTCCTCAGGGTCTAAGATGAGCTGCCTGTGCTGGGGGCTGGGTTTCGGGGAGTTTGGTTACGGGAGTTCTCTCGCTGAGCTACCGCTCTCCAGCACCCAAGCAGGCCCCGCCCAGGGGCCTCCCTCTCCTGCAGGCTGGCCCTGTCGCCAGAGTTTACATTTCTCTACATTCAAAAGCAAACGCGCACATTTTCCCCTCTTCCGAATCTGTTTTGCTACAAACAGATTAATCTAGCAGCAGATTACATTATGAAGAACCATAAATCTTTTCGGAGATAAGCATCTGCCGGGGGTTGGATTAGCAACAGCCTATGTACCGCGAGTTAATTTGCTAAGCCTCACAGTGCTGTCCCAGGCGTTTAGCGTTTGTAATAGCAGATGTGATTTGGGACAAATGGGAACTTGTTTCCTCATCCGTGTCTATACAGTAAGTGACGTAATTCGGGGGCGTTGGGGGGGGCGGGTGACAGTCAGTGAGAGGAACGCCAAATTCCATTATGACGATGGCTGATGAGTCGGTAGAAGTTGAAGCAGATGCTAATGGGAATTGCTTGCAGGCGTCTGGCCCTGAGAGGAACAGCCATGTGCTATCCCTCCTTCATGCCTCTGTCCCCACTTCAACACTGTGGATTCCCTGGGGAGACCGCATGAAAGACGCCCATGCGGTCCTAGGTCTCCTTCCGGGAGCCGTCAGGTTTAGTGTTGCCCTTGGCCACGGCGCGGTATAGGACTAGCTCTGCTTTTGGCCACGGCGCGGTATAGGACTAGCTCTGCTTTTGGCCACGGCGCGGTATAGGACTAGCTCTGCTTTCGCAGGTGAGCTCCATGAGGACCAGGATGCTGCAGGATAAAAACCAGTGGGTTCTGTTGCTCAGTGCAGGAAGGATGGATGTTGGTGGCTGAAGGGCAAAGGCTGCTTACCCAATGAAAGCCTGTCCAGCTGCTAGCCGGTGTCTGCCTGCCCAAGGTCAGAGGAGGAACAGCCAGGGCAAAACCAGGTGCCGGGGATGCTGTACCAACTGCCTGAGAGTGGACCTCAGGAGCGGCCCCTCCTCCTCCCCATCAGCCTGGTGCTTGAGTCTCGAGGAGACCACTCCTCACCACCAGACATTCTTACCGATGCCCAGGGAGCTGCTCTCAACTCCGGAGCACCAGCAAGGGCTGCTGTTTGTCAGGGGTGTTGCCCGCACGCCTCTGCAAACTTCCAAGGGGCCGCTGTGTGTGCCATGCTGGAGGTTGTGGGAGGGGATAGCTGCCAGCTCTCTCTCTCCCTTGGCTGCTGGCATAGAGACAAATCCTAGCCTGGTACGTGGACGTTAGAGAAGGAGGCATGGAGCAGAGCCCCACAGGAGATATCTCAAGCCAAGGAGCTGCGACTGTCCATGCGGCCTGAGAAGAAGACTGCAGGGCCAGGGAGCCAAAGCCTTGCATCTCATCCCCGCCTCCAGATGCCCTCCCCAAGCTCCTCCCAGAGGGAAGAGACGAACCCTTCCGCACAGCTTCAGTCAGCATCACGGAGAGTTCTTCCCCTTATCTGACCTGAGTCTTTCCAGCTATTCAAGGTCATTCCTAGCCTTGGGCCAAGCTCTGTCTAGCAGTGAACCAGCCCCAAGGGGCCAGCACACTGAAGGCTTTGAGTCCCTTAACATTGAGTACGATGTGCCCCAGAGACTGTAGCCTGGATATAAGCACTTAGGTAGACACCAAAGTCACTGTGTTCCACCTGGCAGCCAGTCTCTCCTTGGCGTCCACGCTCAACTCTTCTCAGTCTGACACTGTTTACACTAGACCCCTGGGAACATCCCCATACCCTCCTGTCCCAAACCACCCGGCATCCTGCCTCCCTCCGAGCCAGAGCAGAAATACAAAGAGATCTCCTACCTGAGGTCTCCCCCAAGATCCTTGGGGGCTGGATGTCTTTCCCATTGTTGCTGGGACTGGTGGAAGGCTCTGTTGTGCTAACCCCAACAGGGGTCCTTTTCCAGGGATCTAGGGACTCCGTGACCCCCTTAGTCTGCAGTGTCATGGCGGTGGCCGTGCTGGCCGTGGTGGTAGTGGTGGTGGCCACAGTTGTCTTCCGTGTTTGCAAGATGGAGACCGTGGTGGGGCCGAACCCACCAGGGAAAGTGTTGGACTCTAGGGCTTCCTCATCCCCGGTAGGCCCCCAGGCTATGAACTCTGTCTCTGTCGTGGGCCTGCTGCCACGAAAGTCGAAATCATTGAACTCTGGGTCGTGCGTGTGCCTCCTACCCCGCCTTAAGAGGCTCTGATGCTCTGCCGTGCCGGCAGCCACCATGGAGGACGAGGCCGACGCAGAGGCGAGGGAAGGGCTGGATCCCGTGGCAGCTGGGGGCTTGGTGAGTCCCCCTTTGGGCCCGAGGGTGGCCACCTGGTCCCTGGGCCTGTGGGCCCTCCGAGCACGGGGAGTCTGCATCTGTAGGGGCCCGTGGGCACGTTCGGCCCGGGCAGCACGGGGACTCCAGGCCGGTGTTGGTAGCCTTGTAGGGGGTCCGCTTCGCAGACTCCACAGTCGCTGGGGCCTCTGTGGACGTGACAGGAGCCGGAACTCAGGCCCTGGGCCCAGTGAGTCACAGGAAGGGAAGTCAACCGCCAGCTGCAGCATGGCGATCAGTATCCAGGCATGGCTTCCGAGAGAGCGGCCAGGCCAGCGGATGGACATGGAGCTGAGGAGAGAGAGCAGAGCAGTCAGCGGACGGCCAGCGGGGCAGCAAGAGGGCCACCTCTACCTCCACCGGATGGGGACAGCCTTCGGCTGTAAAAAAGAGCTCCTCTGAACCTGGAAAGGGCCCCAGAAGCCTCTGGGCCATCTCAGGCACACCGGTGTTTCTTTCCTCTCCAGAAGGACAGTGCCTGCTATGCATCAGAGACAGCTGATTGCAGCTCAGGCACTTGCTGGATAGCAACCTAAGAGCCCCCTTTTATAGCAAGGGACCCAGCCACCGAAGCCCCCCATCCTGCAAAATGCCCTTGAAGACTTGGCCCACCGCGAAGCTGAGACTTCAAGAACGCAAAAGCTGCAAAAGGGGAAGAGAACTTCTGCTCCCAGGCCCGGGGCCTCTCCACATTAGAACCCAGGTGGGCAACTGACGGCGCCTGAGGCCTGTGATTGGAAGAGGCCTCACGCTCTGGGAGGCTGTGTGAGGCAGGAGGGAGGGGTCTTTCCCTAGCGGGCAGGGTCTTCCCCACCCCTCCCAAACACCATGGCCCTCTAGCCCTCTGGGTTGAGCACACACCAGCTTGCCCACCACCTGGACACAGCCAAGCAAATCTCCTTATGTCTGGCCGTCCCTGGGTGTCGCTCTGGGAGCTGACTGCAGCTCAGGGGGAAGCTGGAGGATTCAGTACTAGGCGCTGGCTGGCTCTGCTGACATTTCCACTCTCCCTGTTTATCTCCGGTGGAGATGCCCTTTGGAAACTTCTCATCTTCAGAGCTGGGGCTGGACAGAGGAAGACCAGACTGAGCGCAGCCAATCGGGAGGTGAGGCTGATGCTCACTCGGCTGGGAGCAGGTGGGAAGAAACGATAACAGCTTGTCAGGGACCCGTTGGGACAGTCCCCACGGGGAGTCCACGGGCTGAACACGAGTCCTCTCACGGCCACTGAGACACCACACGAACATCCCAGAACGGTGTGCAAACCCACACAGTCAGGCGGGGAGGGTGCAGCCCACGTGCCTTCTTCTCCCCCCACCCCCGCCCCGGCGTAGGTAATTGAGGGACCGATTATAGGTGCCACTCAAAGTCAGCCCTTGTCATCAACATCTGAAAGTTAAGAAGGAATCTAAAACTTCCCCAGAGGCTGCTGGGGGAGACGGGGTGCAGGGCTTCAGGTAGACTGAACTACCAGCCTCCACAGCTGTGCCTGCCAGGCCCAGAAACACACGTGGGCTTGTT